CTACATAGCATAAAAATTCCAAAGATAGTGGGGCAAAGTTGGGTATATATGACACTTCGGAAAAAGGGTGAGTGGGGTCTTAGATTTCCGAAGTGAGAAGGGATGATTTACAGGTAATTGAGGGAGATTGGAACACACATGGCAAGCAAATCCTTGCTAGGCAACTCAGGAACAATGGGACACAGAAGGAACCCAGCTAACAGGCTTGGAATCTTCTTGCTGGGTGAAAATTCTTAAAGTGATTAAGCCAAGGCTCCCTTCCCAAAGCAGGTTTCCTTGTCTGAACCTCTTGGGCAGGAAACTGGGGATCAGGGAGGTGGGGTGTCAAATGTTTGTGTTTTGTTTGTTTTTTTCTGAGCCTATCCTATATAATAAAGAGGTAATATGCAAATTGATCCTCACACCATCACAAGATGGCAGTGTGCACAGCAGCAGCTGGGTTCCCATAACAATATGGCTGCACCCGCAGCAGAGGTGGGGTTCCTGTAATGAGCAATCAGCAGGGACATGAGGCTGTCTGGCACTGGGCTGGGGTAGTGGACCTGAGGCTGTGCCCCCCTGCCTGGCAGAACTTGATGGAGGTGGGTCCAGTAAGGTCTGGATCTCGCCCAGTGGGGGTGGGGCCGGGCTGGTCTGGATCTCATGCAATTTTGAGGTGTGTGCAGATGATTGGGGACTTGACTCTGAGTCCTGTGGTGTTCCCCAGACTCTGACAGGAGGAAGATCTTTATATACATTTTACCAATTTTCTTTCATCTCTGACACTTCTATTATAGAGAAAAGGCAAATAGAAATATTAAAATATTTCCTCTAATTAATTCCCTTTAAATGTGCTTGAATTTTGTGCACCAGGCCACTAGTTTTTAAATAAATAGCTTAAAATCAATATTCCCCAAAGAAGTTTCAGGGCACCCTAAGTAATGCAGCCACATTCTAGAAGTTAGAATTTATCCAGTAAGTGGTGGGGAAAGCACAGAAGGCAGGAAGGGGAAGAGCCTGGTTAGACATGTGTCTGTAAGGGGAAAATTGAAGTAGACAGAGTCTGGAAACCAAGAGACCAGGAGGGAGGGACCCCTGCTCCAAGAGGCTGGGATATGCCAGTACTGCCTGGGCACTTTCCTATAGATGGTCTCATTTAATTCTCACAGTAACTACCAGAGATGTCATTATTATTTCCATTTTACACATGAGGACTTGGAAACCTAGACAAGTTTAGCACCCTGCATCTCACAGTTGGAATTCCCATCCAGGTTTGTATCTCTCTAAAGCTGGGGCTCTCACTCTGTGCCATCTTGCCCCCTGAGTAAGAATGACACAGAAGTGGGTATGGGGAAGAGTCATCCATACTTAAATAGTGGAGTGCAGCGGATGATATGAAATAGGTTCCAGAGACAGAAACTGATAGGTGTTGATGACTGACTGACTGACTGACTGAGAGACTCATAAAACAACCATCACTCATTCACTAATTCAATTAGCAAGGAATGAACCCAATATTTTGTGGATTTTGTAGACTTGATTTTTTTTTTTCCTAAATTGGCTTTAAGGTGCTTTTTCTTTCTCTTTTCTTGTTCTTTTCAAAGCTCACTGAGTTTTTGGTTGTTTTGTTTTTTTGTGTGTTTTTTTTCCCTTTCTCTCTCTCTCTCTCTTCCTAGGAGTCTGGTGTCTTATTGTCCAAGAGACACTGGAAATAGGTGTTTCTGAAGGTTTATCACCTCATTCCTTCACATTAGGGTGTCCCTCTCCTTTTTTCCACATCAAACACATGCCATGGGGAGCCTGAAACCACATTTATTGACCGGCTTTTTGGAAAGCTGGAGGGTGGCTTATTTTACTCCAGGCCATCATTAGCGAGGCATTTCATCCTCTGCTTGGACCAGTGGTTGGGTCTGGAATGGCATTTCAAAATCTGTTCCCCTGGAGCTTGTACTGAAAGTGGTTTAATTAAAATTGGTATTCTAAATAATGCAGTAACATTGACATATAAACCTATGGTCATTGCTCATCAAAGAGCAAGGGAAACACCCAGAGGAAGAGTTTGGAAACCAGCTTATCCCTCCATGGCCAGGTTATTTGTGTTTTTAAATATTAACCACCTTGCCCTTGGCAGGTTTCAAAATAGTTCAATATTTCTTATGACTCTTTACCCTCTTAAGAACTCTAATAAGTAGGCAAGGTAAGAATTATTATCTCCATTTCAAAAAAAAAAAAAAGCTGAAATGATGAGTTGACTTGACTATGCTCTCTTGGCTAGCATAGTCTTAAAACTCAAAGGTCACTTATCTCATGGTCTGATATTCTACAACCATGGATAAACCTGTGGTAATGTCAGAAAGCAAAAAGATAGACTTAGATTTCATGATGGTCTCTGCCCTCTTACATGTGCTCCCTTTCAAACAACCCACGTCATTTTGCAAACAAATGCCATTATCCCCAAAGAAATGAAAGCATCTATGATATTAAAGAAATACTCTAAAAAAAGCACTTTCCAGATATAGCAAAGGTTGTATTTTGTTGCCAGTGTTGGATTTTCTCTTCTCAGAAACGGATTTTTTTTTTTTTTTTGGGGGGGGGGGGGAGTCTGTGACTGGCCATGGACTACTTGATAGAAAAATCTATATAGATAGGCAGGGCAGAAATATAATTCAAATGCAAAATGTTTCTTCACATTTTGAAGAGGCCATTTAATGAACTTCTAGAAAAATATCTCAACTATTTCAGCAGAGCCAAGCTCTGGGAAGTGGGGTCTTATGTACGTCAGAGGTGAGACCACTGAGCGAGGTTGTAGGGCACATTCAGTGCACAGTTCTATATGGTTAAATTTCTCCAGAGAACAGACACGTCTTTTTCTTCTTTGGAGTTATAGTACTCATGAAATGTATGTGGGATTAGAAGTAGCCCAGATGAAAAATAGGAGCCTCTGCCAGTATTCTGCCAAGCTAGCATAGATGAACCCATAGGAATATTTGACCCCAACAGTTCATAGAAGAAGATGCCTCTGAGTCAGCCCCCACCTGTGTCATTGGGCCTTATTCTGTCATTCTGCCCACTCCTCTCTGCCTTTCTCTGTGACTCACTGTGCATTTCTGAATCATTCTCTCTCTCTCTCTCTCTCTCTCTCTCTCTCTCTCTCTCTCTCTCCCTCCCTCTCTCTCTCTCTCTCTCTTACATAAAATCCATTCTGTTTTTCTCATGTATTAGCTAAGAGACAAACACAAATTATGAGTCATTTATAAAATGTATTATGAATCATTCCTGGTAGGAATGATTAATACTACTATTAGAATCAAAACTTTACAAGTATTAAAATTGTAGCCCATAAAATATATTAACTGAAAATTAGTGAGAAAAATAAAATATTCCTGAGAAAATTTAGTAATGAAAACTCTGACACATGAAAATTGCACTTTGTAGAAATAATGGTCTTAAGAGAAAAACTCATTATGGTCAAAGCTATAATCCTTTTTAAAAAATAACTTATCAGTGACACAAATGAATGCTTGACATAACATTTAAATGGAAAGAATTGATCCTAGTGAAAATAATTTCAGTAAAATAGAAATGAAAATGGGAAAATATATTTTTTTTTAAAAATTAGATGCACTCTTTAGAAAATTAATCAGAGCATTAAATTGTCCTAATAGTTTTCATTACAGGAAAAAAAGAAAAAAGAAAAAAAAAACCTGCTTTTTAGAACCAAATTATTCTATGCTGGTATAATCCTAACTGAAATGTTTATATTAAAAAATATCTTTGGGGTCAATTAATTGTATTAAAATAGTAGCTACTAAAAATCCTCTACCAATGACATCAAATATCTGGAAGGCTACAAATTATTTCCTTAACAAAGAAATTCTCTTATCCAGACATGAGTTTTTGCCTCTTTCAAATGAAATACATTATTTTCTCCTTATTTCTAAACTTCTGTGATTCTATGATTAGCCAGATAAGTATTAAATTCTTTTAATTTTATAAAACTACATTCCAAGCAAGATCATAAAAATAAGTCAGAAATAAATACAGGCAAAATTTCTTCTTGGACACATAATATGAAAACTTAGACAATCATATAAATGCCATAGCTAAAACCATAAAATACTTTGTCACTTTGATAAATTACACAATAATGATTTCTTCATAAACTGAGAAAAAAAATGTTCACTTTTTTATTCATTTCTGAAATTTTGCAAGATAGAGTATAATAAACACTGTTGAATACAGAATAGGGAGTTCAAGGCAAATCTGATTTTTCTGTTTTATACTGCTGACCAGAGGCAATATTTAAGTTACACTTAATATTGAACTAGAACAGTGGTTTTAAGCCTTTTCATCTCATCGCATACATAAACTAATTACTAAAATTCTGCACCCAAGAAAATACTCTATTTTTTTTTTTTGAGACTTTGATTTTCACCCTGAGAGGCTATTGTATTGTGGACTGTAGTGATTTTTTTATTTGACAATCTAAGGGAAAGAGGTCTGTGCCCCTTACTAAGGTGTTGCATGTTTTAAAAATTCTTGTGACATGTGGGTTGACAATCCCTGAACTAGACACTTCATCCAGAGCAATCCTAATAAGAAAGCACATGCAGGCAACTTATGAGCAATATAACTAATCAGGTCATCAGTGTAAAATGGGTTAATTAAGCAACCAATAGGTTTATGAATTCTTTTTGTGTAAAACTTTGTTCCTATAGTTTTGGCATCCATTTCCAATTTTGCTTAAAACATTATACATTCCAAAAGATATCCTTATTTGAAAGCAGTGCCATTATTTCCCATTTTCTGGTATGATGATTGACATCACCCATAGGTTGAATTTGACATCTCTTCACAGAGTATGAAGCACATACATCCGTAGTCACTGCCCTGGAACAAACTGCCTAGCTAGAGTAGCTAAGACCCACTGCTAGGCAACCTGCCATTCCCAGGCTGGATGGAGTTGTCAGCCACCAGAAAGAAGTTAACAAACAAATGTGGCCATTTTTACTCACTTTTCTGTACATATAATATACACTGAGTGGCCAAATTATTATGACCAGCCAGATTATTATGACCACCGCATCAGTACTTCATTGACACTTCCAAAAATACTGAATATTGAAAACTTCCTAAGCAAATACTCTCAAGGTTTTTTTTTTATTATTATTATTTGCATAACTAATTCACTTCATTGTATTGATGGGGTAGTCATAATAATCTGGGCAGTCATAACAATCTGGCCACTCAGTGTACTTGATATATTAAAGAGTCAAACAAAAACTTGTGTTTCATATAGAATCACTTATTTTTCTAAAAAGGTTCAATGACCATTGAAATATTATATTTTTCACCTAACCTGTGTTCCTTTGCATATTTTAATAACTTTGGCCTTCAAATAACAATAACAATAATTACAGCTAACACATACTGAGGCACTCACTATTCTAAACTTACATGTGTTTAATCTTTACTAAAGCCCCATGGGATACGTACCATTCTTATACACATCTTATAGAGGAGGAAAATGGAGTCAGAGAGGTCTTGTAACTTGCCTAAGGTCACACAGCAAGGACTTGTCAGATCCAGGATTTGAAAACAAGCAGTGCAGCAGCAAAGCCTATGCAGCCTCCCAGCACAGGTGGGACTGGAGGCTAATTGCATATGGAAATGTAAAAGCCTTTTCTAAAGCAACTGATTTGAGAACGTGAGGCCTAAATCTTCTATTTAATATGGAAGGCAATTCTCTTGCAACTGTAAATCTGAAGACCATGAATCCTCGAGTCAAATTATAACATGTCTTTTCCTACATGAGGTTTTATTTTCTCATCTTAAATCTTCCCTTTCCTGTTTGATTGCAATTTAATTGCTATTTGAAGTTCAGTGTCCCTTACATATTCTAGGTGAATGTCCTTATCTTTCCTCCATTCCATTTATGGGTCAGAGCAGCCTTATCTCTTTAAACCTAACCCGAGTTATTTTATCTATTTGCATTTTGGGTCAATCAAGTGAAGGGAGTGATGGAATAACACCAGCATACCCAATTACATCTCCTTCATCCCCAACCCCTCCCAGCTCAGCCCTTGATAATTCTGACAAGTCTTTGAAAATGAACAAGTTCAGAAAGGCAATTGTGTAGTTTAAACCACTGTATTTAAATTAAAAGGTGAGGTGGAAGCTTAAAATTAAAATAAGCTCAATGTTTGTTAAGTTTCATTGAAAAACTATGCATTCAACCCCTAATAACAGCATTTCATTCATGTATTCGTTTATTTAGTATAGAAAAAAGAGCCCGTCCCTCCCAGGTTGTGCTTGGTGGGGGGAAACACAAAGTAAAATAAGGCACGACAGGACAGACAGAATGAGAATACAGGTGCCTTGAAAGCTTAGTTAGAGTGTGAGAGAGGAAGGTCAGTTATCCTTGCTGCTGGACAGGAAAAGTGTCATCAAAGGTAGGATATGTTGGTTGTGTCTCAAAAAGAAGAGAGTTTACAAGGGGAGCCTAGAAATTGGGTGGGTGGGGGTGCATTCTACACAGCAGGTACATAGGGACAAAGACCTCCAGACTTAAAACCACAGTCCTGTTCCTGGTGCTACAAGGAGTTCAGAGAGTGTTTCATGTGCAGGGAGGGATGAAGGAGAAGCTGGGAATAACCAGGCCCAGCTCACAGAGGGCCTTGTAGCCACATGCACAAGTGAGTATTTTCTGAGGGCAGTGAAAGCCCCTTAGGGCTTTAAACAAGAGAGTGCCAATATTCATTCACATTTGTGCATGGTCACTCTGGCTGCAGGGTGGACAGGAGGAGGAGGACTGAGGGCAGGAAGGCAGATTCCAAGGTTGTTTCCTTAAAGCTGTTGAGGCTAATCTCAGGCCTTTGAGAGAGCTGCAGACACCTTTATAGGGGTTAGAAGAAGGTGTCCCCTTTGGGCACTATTAGAAAAAAGCGCCCCCTCTGGGCTGTGAAGCCTACTGGCTGGAATGCAAATGACTTTCATCTCCCTCAGCCAGGAGCTTGGGCAACCGTGTGAGGATGAAGAGGAAGAAAGTGGATGTGAAAGAAGTAAATGAAATGTGGGAATGAGAAAAGATGACTCCAGGACAACTGCCCGATTTTTAATTTGGGTGAATATGTGAGGGATGGTAGCATCTACCAAGAAATAAATTTTAATAATAAAAATAAATTTGAAAGAACAGAAAACCATTTTTAAATCAATGCTGTCACTGCACACGTGCTAGAGAATCCAAGCATATTTGTGCATCGAGGGGACCCTCTTCATGATCAGCAGTGCCTCATTCTACTGCCGGAGAGCTTCCTCTGTACCTGCAGGTGCCCCACTGCTCCAGGTAGAGTGTGTGTGTGTGTGTGTGTGTGTGTGTGTGTGTGTGTGTGTGTGTGTGTGTGTTGAGGAAGGAAACTTTATTCAGTACAAACAGCTCAACAGTGGTACCATATGACTGTGAAAATCTGAGGTCTATATCCCATCCCCTGTTGCATCAAATCTGGACTTCTCTTTTCTCCTTAAGTGGTGGAAATGTGGAAAAGCAGAGGACAAGTCCTGCCATACAGCCAACTGCACATCTACCTTCGTAAGAGCTGACCTAGAATGTTATAAACAGAGTCTGAGGCTCCTAAGCCCTGGGATAAGGTGGCATTTCTCGCCCTTTCTCTTGTATTCAGCTGGCACAGAGCCAGGAGCCTATTCATCTTCTGATAGAGCATAGTAAACACCCCAGAAATTTCCAAGGATATAATGAGACATATGAGGGCTGAGGTCATGGACAATTCTTTTCAGGAGCTGTAGGACTAGATAAAGTGTCATATAGAGGGGATAGTAGCAGAAATCATTCATCATTGGTTAACATAAGACTGCAGTGAAATAGCAGTATCTTCCTCTGGATTGGTATATCAGTCAAGATAGACTAGGCCATGCTGTGGTAACAAATAATTCCCAAACCTCAATGGCTGAGAACAATAAAGCTTTGTTTCTCACTTGTGCTGCATGTCCCTACAAAGTTCTACTATATTTTCTGAGTTAGAGCACTGGGGTTTGGGGGACCTTATACCAACAATTAAATGTCAGGTGGTTCCATCCAACCATTATGCTCAAAAAAGTGCAACTTCTCCATGTGCATAGAAAACAGAGATCCAGAAATATTTGGTGAGCAGCATTAACAACTACCCACTTGTGGCTTTAGAAAGACTCACCATTTGCCCCTAACTTTGTTATCATCCGGGATATGAACAGGGAAAGAAGCGGTCACAAATTGGAAATATGAGAAGCAGAATAGAATGTCATGAGTAAGTTGTGAGTTCAGTATTAAATTAAAAGAGTAACAGTTACAGCAGTGACATTTCACAGAGCTCTTCCTCTAAGCTATGCACCTTGTTTCAGCCACAAAATGATCCTGTGTAAGTATAATATAATTCCTACTTTAAAATGAGGAAACTGAGGCTTAGAGACATCAATGACTTGACCAACAGGTCCACCTGACCTCAAAGAGCCAGAGATGATGCTATATATGAAAATAGAATATACTATTTTACCCTTCAGTCCCATAATACTGCTCAAATTCTAACTTGTAATTCCATACAAAGGCCTTAAAGAAGCTAGACATATATGTTTGGCTCACTTATAAATCTATTCCATTAAAAGAGTGTGGGCATGCACTACATGAACACAGAGATATGAAATGTCTATTTTATATTTTCAACTGCTTGAAAAAGTGTCTATCTACACATATATATTTTTAAAATATATTTTACTGATTTTTTACAGAGAGGAAGGGAGAGGGATAGAGAGCCAGAAACATCAATGAGAGAGAAACATCAACCAGCTGCCTCCTGCACACCCCCTACTAGGGATATGCCTGTAACCAAGGTACATGCCCTTGACCAGAATCAAACCTGGGACTCTTCAGTCCAAAGGCCGATGCTCTATCCACTGAGCCAAACTGGTTAGGGCTATCTACACATATATTTATGAAATTGATCTGTGTGTGATTAAGCTCCTTGGAAACCTTGAATTTTTTAGAGCAAATTTGTACAAAGTGGTCAGCTATGACGATGAGACCATGACACGTGCTGCATTCCTCTTATTCCACTTTTGTTTTCTTAAACTTGTCCTTGTGCCAACTTGCCATCCTTTTAGATGTCCAAGTGGCAGTGTGCAGTTGCTGAATCTTTAGCACTGGAGCAAAAACATTGTTATTCATATACAGTGGTGCCTCACACAACGAACTTAATTCGTTCCAGGAGCAAGTTTGTTATGCGAAAAGTTCGTTATGTGAAACGCGTTTTCCCATAACAATACATGTTAAAAAAAATAATTCGTTCTGTAGCATAAAATATGCTCAGATGACATAAAAAAAAGATAAATTTTTTGTTATTATTTTTATTTAGATACATCATGATATAAAAAAAATATTGAGTTTAACTTAAAAGGACGACTGCCGTGATACGTGCGTGATTTAATTCGTAATGAAGAACGATTGCCACGATACGTGCTTAAGTTAAGCGCAGTGACTAACGACTGCCTGCAGTGCCTGCGCGGAAGGATGCAATACATTGGCAGCGATCGTGGAAGCTCGGGCAAAGCGGTCGTGGAAGCTCGGGCGACTTCGTTGTGTGAAACGAAGTTCGTTGTATGAATCATGAAATGAAGTTCGTTGTGTGCAGCGTTCGCTGTGCGAGGCGTTCTTTATGCGAGGCACCACTGTATGTATAGAATCGGAGAAGCGTGACCCTGACAGGAAGCCCTGCGGCCCCTGCAGTGCTGGCCAGAAACTCTCCGACCTCCGACCCTGGTTCATGAGCCCTGTCTGGGTGGGAGCCCAGGGGGCTGCTGGGGGTGGCCTACTGACAGCCTTCTGGAAGCTTCACCAAGAGGCCATCCATCACAGTGATTGGCCAAATAAGTCACATCACCTCTCCTTGGCACTCCTGCTCTCTCTCCCTTTGCATCATTCCTTAGCAAGGTAAACAGCATCATTTCAGCAATTTTCAAGGTGACTTCCAATAAAACACGTATGCAGATTTATCTCATGGCCGGTAGGCTGAGCTCTAAATTTATACCAGGTCCACCATGGAAAGCCTTTTAGTTAAAAAAAGAAGAAAGAAAATATAGAAAGTAAAGTTTCCATCAGCATTTATCTTTAAAGGAAAAAGTTGTTTGGGCTTTTTTCCTTTTCCTTTTTTTTTATTTTTTTTATTTTTTTTATTTTTTTATGGGAAGGTATTTCTTCTCTCTTTTTTAGTGGAAAAGAAAAAAAAATGCCCCTAAAGAGCAACTGACTGGAGCTTTTCAATCTCGTAATGCCTGGAAACAAAGAGAAATCCTTAGTGTCACCAACCATGGCTTCCCATGGACCCCATGCTTTGGGCTGACTCCTATGCGTGCCTGATGGCTTCACCTCTCCAGCAATTTGAAATGCTGCCATTGGTCCCCCTTAGCCTTGCTTATGGAAACTGATGAATTAGCAAGGGCTGAGACAGAAACCCTGCTGAGCCGCCAGCATCAGTGGGCTTTCTTCTCTTTCTTTCAAACGGGGGTACCCATCTCTTTCAAGGAACGCTGTCCTCCATCCCCATAAATGGGTAGCCTTTGGCCTCTTCCAAACAAAGACTGCAGATTGCTTTGTACTTTGTATTTGCCAGGAATTTACTGGAGCCCATAAAATGAATTCCTGTAGCTGGGGAAACTGTGCCCTTTCTGTTTGTTGTTATTGTTGTCTTTAATCTAGGCTGCAGTCCAAACGTTTGCAGCATGAGCGAACTGTTATGCTCTGCTTTCTAGTTTTATTTGGCCTGGGAAAAACAAACAAATGGAAGTGCTCGGTGTAACAGTATATGTTAGAAGTTGGTCGTGTTCAGTGTTTGCCTGATTGTCTTCAAAATTAAGTTTTAAGGCTGAATTCTAAAACCTTACATCCATGTTACATCAAGCAGTTCTTTGTCAAGTGGCAAAAGCATTCATCATATTGAACTTATCTTTGTAACAACTCTGTATCTAGGTGAATGGGAGACATGTTTATCCACTTTATAGGTGGGTATACTGACTGGGTACGGGATCCATTCATTCTAAGGTCACCCTACAGAGTGAGGTGGATCAGTGTTGTCACCATCCCAGAGCCCAGGCTGTCGTTGCCGGCTCCCTGCCTTATAGGATATTTGAGATGAATTTAATTTTGAAGCATAACACTTCATGTGAAAGCCACGATGGGCAAAACTTGTAACCAGGCCCTATTCAATTTCCAGCTATTCAAATGTATCTCTGCTTTTACTGGATGTTCCATACTTATCAAAGCTTTTGTTTTAGCCCCAAATGGGAACTGAGTAATAAAGAGAACAATGACACTTAGAACTATAATGACAGGTCACGCTTACTGTGACATAGTATGTTCTTTTGAAGATTTAATTCATCTGGAAGCTGTGGCGTGCATAAAGCCCAGTTTCAACTGGGGAAGGAAATGGAGAATTGCATTTGTCAGAGTTTGGCGGAGTCTGGAGTGATGTGCAATAAAAGTAACGTAGCAACCATGTCCCTTTCATGCCCGAGCTCTTTCATGTGCACTGACCTTGCAATTCTTGGAAATAATACATTTTGCAGGATGCTGTGAGGAGGGACCATTGGAGGCAGAGAGAATGCTAGGGACCGTGTCACACTCAGCTCCGTCCTCACGCCTGGCACATCCTGTGTGACCATGGGTGAGTGGTGCCTTGGGTGACCATGGGTGAGTTGTGCCTTGCTGGGCATTGAGACTGTTTGGCCAGTCAGGAAAGTTACAGAACCAGGGAGGAGCATCAGCAAAGCCTTTCTTTCCCTTGCTCATAGCTTCAGGCTTTGTTGTTGTTTTCAAATTCTTATGGTGGCATCCTTTAAACTACTTAAGCATGGAATTAGCCTAACTATCTCATTATACCTCTAGGCTTGTATTTTCTGCTATTTGTACAAATGTATTAAGCACATAAAGTAGATCACAGTCTGTTTGTTTGTTTGTTTGTTTGTTTTACTTTTGTTTGCCCTCACCTGAGGATTTTTTTCCATTGATTTTTAGAGAGATTGGAAGGGAGGGAGAGAGGGAGAGAGAGAGAAAGAGAGGAAAAAAGAGACATCAATGTGAGAGAGACACATCAATTAGTCACCTCCCGCATTCATCCAATAGGGGTCTGGGATCAAACCTGCAACCCAGGCACATGCCCCTGACCAGAAATCAAAGCTGCGACCCTTCAGTGAGTGAGCCAACACTTTAACCACTGAGCAACACCAGCCAGGGCCAGCATGTCACATTTTAATATGCTCTTTTAAGTAAGCAGATGCTCCACCCTTTTCTGATGTCTGCACTGAGCCATCTGTTACTGCATTCAGAAGAAGAGTGTAGGACTGCAAAGTGGTGGGGAGCGAGAGTTGACAAGGTATCACCCTTTCACTGGCAGGTGTGTTACACGTTCTCCCCTAAACACCTGCGGGTTCATGGGAGGAAGTTTTCATGGCAGATAGAAAGGTAAGGAGAGGACAGGGATCAGCAAGAGTTATCTATCATCCAAAGATGCAACACGTGTATCAACCCCAGTGCACTATAAAGACCATCTACACTAATAAAAGAAAAACATGCAAATTGACCATCACGTCACTATGCCCACCAGCCAATCAGGAGTGAGTATGCAAATTAACTCAACAAAGATGGCAGCAGCCCTGCCCCCTGCCAATCCAGGCCTCTGGGCAGCAAGCTTGCAGGCATGGAGTGGCCGGGCAGAGCTGGACGCATGCTATGAGGGGAAAGGTGGGGGGCTGAGGGAGCTACAGGAGCAGCGTTCCTCCTGGAGCCACGACTGAAGGTGGCGGCCAGAGTGAAGGCCTGGGTCCCAGGTGCCAGAGGAAAACTGATGCCAGAGGAAAACCTGTGCCAGCAGCCAGGGGAACGAAGGCCTATTGCACGAATCTCTTCATGCAAGGAGCCTCTAGTAATCTATAAAGACCATACTGAGAGAGGATTTGAGAATTGCAGACAGAAATGTAAGACTGTTTCCTGCTCTGAGCGCTTGGCAGAAAGGATCCAGGGCTTCCGAAGGGCAGAAAATTTATTCACAGGCACTGAGAGTTCTTAGTTTGCAGAACTCCACATTCCAGTTAGCAACCTCACTGGGGAACACAATTTCACTCCAAGCTGATGAGACTCAGATTTCAGGGATGCCAGCAAAGAATATGCGAGAGGTTGGGAAGGGAAAGGGATAGAGAGCCATACCCGGCTTGCAGGGTAGATCCCCAGTAAGGGGTATGCAGGAGGCAACCAATCAATGATGTTTCTCTCTGTTCCTCTCCCTTCCCAACCTCTCGCATATCCCTTGCTGGCATCTCTGAAACTTTAAGCCACATCAGCTTGGAGTGAAACTGGGTTCCCCAGGAGGTTGCTAATCCTTTCATTTTCTAAGAAGGTGACAGCTATATTTGCTTCTTTTTAAAGAGGCAGCTGAAGCAGAAGGGGTGTGCGTGTGTGTTTTATTAAGGACGGCTGTCTCCCAGGCACAAGGCCCCCAGCTCAGCCTCTGACCCTTCCCTTCATGGCAGCAGCAGCTCATTTTATAGAGAAGTAGAAAAGTAAACAGTTCCAGAGCTTTGGAAGATGACCCCAAAGCAACTCTGCTATCTGCCAGCCTTCCCGCACCCCCTCTCTGCGTCAGGCCTGGGCCCAGCAAGCTGACACTGTGCTTCCTAAGCAGGCAGTGCGCCACCAGCACCCGGCACAGCTCGCTGGCCAGATGCTCATGGGGCCACGAGAGGCGCGAGTCCAAGCCTGCAATGTCAACACATCTGCCAGCCTGCAGCCATCCTGTTCCAGGTTAAAGGGCTCTGCCAGTTTCAAGATCACATAATTATGCAAATAATAGCTTCTCTAGCAGAGCAAAGGGGCTAGATATGAAAGAAAAGGCTATGCATTTCTGATGGTACAGCTGGAATTCTCTTTATCCCAAGATTTTAGAGGCCTTTGTAATTTCATTAACCCTCATGAGTGGATGACCTAAAACATTGGCTTCTGTGTGGATGTTCTCAACTTTTGACTAAGTTAGTATTCCCCAATATAAGAACTGTCTTTGAAGGAATAATACAAATGAAGAAAATGTGTGTGGGTGTGTATGTGAGTGTGTGTGTGTGTGTGTGTGTGTGTGTACCTATACATACATATCACATATATATGCACAAAAACATGATATTTAGAAATGCATAAATATTCAAAGATGTTCCTTGTGGTGTTAAGATTAGAAACAGAAACAGCTTAAATGCCCCAAATTAGAAAATCATCGATTACATTATAATAGTCTCTCAGTTGAATAATGTTCAAGCATTATAAATAATACAATTGAACCCATAGTAGACTTGAAAATGTTTATCATGTAATCATTTTTAAAAATCAAAATTGCAAAATTGTTTTCATATTGTGGATGCACTTGTATAAAAATAATGAATGTGTATGGACAAGAACTGAAAGGAAGTAAGAACAAGGTGAGGGAATCGTTATGTACAGGAGTGGGAAATGTGAGAAGCATGCTCCTTTGATAAGTGTTTTCTTCATGTCATTATCATGTTGTTTGAGTAACAAAAGAGCAATGTAAAAAGAATAGTTTTCTGCCCGGTCAGTGTGTCTCGGTGGTTGAGCTTTGACCCAGGAACCAAGAGGTTGCTGGTTTGATTCCTGGTCAGGGCACATGCCAGCTTCCAGGCTCGATCCCCAGCAGGGGCCATGTAGGAGGCAGTCAATCGATGATGTTTCTCTCTATCCTTCTCCCTTCCTCTTTCTAAAAATCAATGAAAACATATTTTTAAAAAAGAATAGTTTTCCATTCCACTGCTTGCTGCATTGTCTTTAAGGGGAAATGTGAATATTCAGGGTGTACTATAGGGTGCTGTTAGCTTCTGGCTTTTTCAAACATGTAAAACTTGGAAGGTTTGGGGTAAAAGAATCCTGCAGAGAGAATATAATGTATTCCCAAACCCTTCTGAGTACATGTCTGAGCTCAGCCTTGATTTAAAAAGAATCTATTTTACCCACGCCCCAGGCTTTTATCCCCACCATGACCGGACACCTTTGGGATGCTAGGCCCATAAGTAGAATTCCCTATCCCCACTGCCTTCCCCCACCTGAGTCTCGACCTCTTGTTTATAGGAGCATCAGGATGCTCCAATGAGGCATAAATTTGATGTTTCCAAGTTAATATGTAACTAAGCAATCAAAGCAGAAATGGTTATTGAGCATCTGAGATGTCAAAGGCACCTTGTGAAATATTATGTATTATGCTACATCCTAAGAAACAAGCGTTAGACATGCATTATCACATTCGATCCTTAAAGCAATTCTCTAAGATACATTTCATTAATAGCCCCATGTTACAGATTACGAATGTGAGATTTGAAGATTAATTAGTTGTTTAATAGAATGAAAATTAAGTGGCCTCTGGCTCCAAAGCCATACTCCAATAGACCTAATCTCTCTTCCTCTCCAAATACTCACCTAGGAATGCTTTAACTTCTTACGACATCAAAACCCATGAGGCTTTCCCTAGATAAGCCAGTGATGTCCCTTAACTCGGAGATGTATAATAATAATAACCGTGAACTGGGGACCCTAAAGAGCAGGCTCCAGATCCTCCCACATGAAGGTGGTTTATATCTAGGATGGACACTCCTGCAGGATATGTAGAGAGAAACCACACAGAACAAGGAGCTGGCAGAAGACAGCATAATAGCTGGATGCAGGGGTGTGTGTTTCACCCAAAATTCATGGACCATGGACTTCCTGACTTAAAAAGTGATGCCTAAGGCGATGAAGATAGGAGGTGGAAGATAGGCACCTACTTACCCAAAGGTCAAAAGACAGTGACAAATAATTTAAGCCAAGAATTCAACCTTCAGCTAAGCCAATTATTGTAAAAGAAACACCATTGGGAGGTTTAGAGCCTGAAGAAAGGGCCACATTGTCTGAGGGGCTTGTTCAGAATTTGGGATTTTGGCAAAACTCCCTAAATAACTTGAATCTAAATTTGCAGCTTCTGCTGGGTGCAAGGTGTGTACCTCTAAAACCTCACACGAGGATGAAAGTTAGCCATGGACTTGAACCAATGCCGCATACTGGGCTTTGGAATAAAAGGAGGACTGTATGAGAGGAAGAGACAGAAAGGACAACATCATGGGAACAGGAATTTTGATAGAGAACGTTGTCCTTTGGTTGGAAACAATCAAAGAGGAACTGGGAACGATGCAATGCCTCCCTTTTCCCCTCCACATCCTGGGATGCTTAACCTAATTAATGGGTCACAGTGGAGCAAGGGTTTGTTCAGGGCCATGTGGTGAACAAAGCATGGGCCGTGAAACCAAGAGAGACCAGGTTCAGGTCCAACTCTCCTACTTCCTAACAGAGTGACCTTAGGAAAGTTATTTCAAATCTCTGAACTTACATTTCTTCACCTGCAGAATGAGACCAATTATACTTGCCTCATAGTGTTGTTGTGAGTTGTGAATGACATACAGTGTGTGAAATACCTAGCACACACACATACTTAACAAACTTAGGTCTCTTTCCTTCTTTGCTTCTGAGGATTGCCCGTATTAGCCAGGAGACTCATCTGGACCAGTCAGCACAGCATTATGTTACAAACACTGTGTTCAAGAGCCAAGGTAACAGGACTCTCCAATGCTGTTTCTCAAAGAACATTAAAGTTGATTGAAATAGTTTTTCTTTTCTTCTTCTCTTTAGTTCCCTCCCAGTTAGTGGTATGCTGAATTTTTCAAGCTAGTTGACTTCACATTGGTAGCTTGCTATCAGCCATGCTGGGAGTATTTACACCAGGGAATTCGGCAAACACTAAAACAGGGCTCTTTTTTGGTTTCCAGAGAGCTGGTTTATTAGCACATCACAACTCCAACCCTACAGCTGCTTCAAAGACATTCTCCTTAACTCTCAACTTCTCCCACAAAGAAACTCCTTCTCCACACGCTTAAACTTCACAGCTTCCTTCCTGCTACACTTCCCTCCTTGTGCCTCAGACTTGGACCTACTGTACTTCTCTCCAGATGTGGAGGGCAGGAGATAATAGAGACAAAGGCAGGACTGCCTTTGGTGGAATAGGAGATAGTTAATAGTAGTTTCTCCCCGGAGAGTTTGACATGAATGAACACTGATAATAGTTACTCTATACCAAATTTGTCCCATCTTCTAAAACTAGGACTGAAGGACTCTGCTCTGGAGCCTCGCTCATAATTAGTTGTTTGTTTGGTTTTCTTGTGGGTTTTTTGTTTGTTTGTTTTTTGCCTTAAAAAAATCAAAGGAAGCTACTTATTTATTTTGTGAATAAGACATGTTGAATCTATTTTACATTCACCTCTTGTAGCCATTGCCTCAGATGATACTAGAATCAATCATTCCTGCTTGTGTTTCTTGGAAGGCCTCACCACACATGATTTTACCGACATCCATCAGTGGTCTACCCATCCTCATCTGGGGCATGAATGACCCATTATTCTATATAATAATAAACCCAAAAGGTTGCAATCCAAAAGGAGGAGACTGACCACCAAACAAAACTTAGGGAGCAGTAGAGTTTGCCAGGGGTATAGATAGTAGTTTTCTTTTTCACACCCAGGCCAAACTAACGAGACCATCCAGTTGCAAGGGGAGTCTTCCATGCTAATATTCTGCAGGCTGCCATGTGGTTCTCTCCTGAGGTGGTCCCTGAGAAAGTTGGTTTCCTAGATAGCATTTCTGTCCTCCCTTTTGTACATACCTTGAGATTGGCAAGTGTCCCGGGCAAGACAGTGCTGGCAGTCAGCTGTCATTTGGCAGTGGGAGTTTTGTAATTATTAGTGAAATTATAGACCATAACCTACTACTCAGAGCCATTGTGGGAACGAGGAATCTCCCAACTTCTCCTACAAGACTTATTTCATTTTTTTCCTCAAAGTACATGATGAGACAAATATATTTAATCCACTAGGATGGCCTTAGGCAGAGGAGGGACAGGGAAGTAACATGTGGCACTGAGTGTGTCAAGCACTTCATTTAAGGCAACCTTACAAGGAAAAGACCATTCTAAAAGCAAACATGCTCCTGTATGTCTCTCCTTTACTCTCATGCTACTCTGCAACACTATTTCACTTCTGACCTCAGATGTGTGGGTTTTCTACACATCAAGCAATTTTGCAATTCTAGCTGGTTGTCCTACAATATAATTTCATTCTGGTACTATATTCATGGAGTTAGCATCAGATCCTATAAGGCTGCCCCAGTCCCTACTTTAGACATCAGTCTCAAGTTCAGGCATTGTCTATAAATCAAGGGTTCCCACGATTCTCATCTTTGGTTCAATTAATTTACATCTAGTGGGAAACAAAACTCAGTAATAACAGTTTGCTTACTAGATTACCAATTTATTATAAACTAGAGGCCCGGTGCACAAAATTTGTGCATGGGGGTGGAGGGGTGGCTGTCCCTCAGCCCAACCTGCACCCTCTCCAATCTGGGACCCCTGTGGGATCAGGCCTATAAAAGCAGTCAGACATCCCTTTCAAAATCTAGGACTGATGGCTCCCAATTGCTCACCTGCCTGCCTGATCACCCCTTAACCACTCTCCTGCCAGCCTGATCAATGCCTAACTGCTCCCCTGCCAGCCCAATCATCCTCAACTGCCCTCCTCTACATCCCAGTCACCCCCAAATGCCTTCCCCTGCATATTCCCTCTTTATTAGATAAGGTTTTTTCTTTAGCATATTGGACAGCCCTAACTGGTTTGGCTCAATGGATAGAGCATCAGCCTATAGACTCAAGGGTCCCAGGTTAGATTCTGGTCAAGGGCATGTACCTTGGTTGGAGGCACATACCCAGTGGGGAGTGTGCAAGAGGCAGCTTCTCTCATAGATGTTTCTCTCTCATAGATGTTTCTAGCTATCTCTTTCTCTTCTTCTCTGTAAAAAATCAATAAAATATATATATTTTTTAAAAGAAACATTTAAGATTCCTCCATATCTGCCTGGCTAGTGTGACTCAATAGTTGAGACCCCAGGCTGCTACCCCTGAAAGGGGATCACACCTCAGCCGGGCTGAGACCCCAGCCCAGAATGTGCACATGGCTTGTGTGTGCGGCCCTATGGAGCTGAGACTCCAGCCCAGGCTGCTGCTGCTGGCTGGGGATCATTCCGGGCACTGGTGCCTCCCAGCCAGACCGAGATTTGGCTGTTTGGCTTTGCTCCTGGACTAAGGGACTCCAGCGGGCTAAAAGGACTGGGCACTGCCATCTTGTGACTATGGACACTGCCATTTTTGTCGAGGAGTGATGGCTAATTTGCATATTACTCTGTTATTATAGGATGATATAACTCAAGAACAACCAGATGGAAAAGATGCATAGAGCAGGGCAGAGGGAAAGGGGAATGGGGAAAGGTACATGAAGTTTCATGTTCTGTGTGAGTACAGCACTCTCCCAGCTTCTCCACATGTTCACTGATCCAGAAGTTCTCCAAACCCTGTCCTTTGGAGTTTTTATAGAGACTTTGCTACATAGGCATGATTGATTAAATAATTGGCCATTGGTGATTGAACTCAATCTCCAACCTCTAATTGTAGCCGGTGGGGAGATGTCCTCATCCCTACCTGTTGCTCATGGGAGTAGAATTCTTGTGATTTCCCAAGAAAAGGAATTTTCTGAGATTCACACAGGTGGATGAAA